GTAGGGAGGGTCCTAAGAGTGCAGACCTGAAGCCTATAGCCTGTTCTCCACACTCAATTTGTACACTGAGCCCAAGATACAGTAGGTGCTTAATAAATATTTGCTGGCAGAACAATGTCCCAAGGACAAAGAACATCTCCCAAGAGGGTCCTGGAGCACAGGAGGAAGCAAGTGACAGCATGGGGGTAAACCACTAGGCAGGACAGTATCCCGCAGCAATGCGTGAGGGACAGAGCTGTGCCAGCTGTAGGAGCTCTGGGAGCAGGGGGTGTGGGCCACGTAGGGAACCAGACCTTGGGTTTGTTAATGGAAAACCTGAGCCGTCCGCTGGTCCCTGACCTTGGGCACAGTGACTCAGCCTTTGGGAGCCTTGTTCCTTCCCTGCAAACAAGCCCTCAAGGAGACGGTCAGAGCGCGCACACACACGGGGGATAGTGGTAAGTGGCTGCAGTGGCCAGTATGGAAAAGAGATCCTCCCAGCAGACACAGGATTCAGGAGCAAACACAGCCCGGGCGACACCCAGCCAGACACAGGCCAAGGCCAGTTCATTATAACACGACACCAAACGTAGCACACACTCGGCACAAACGCCGGTGCTACAGCAGATACAGCACAACACCCACAGTACAAAACCAGACACGGCGCAGACACCAACACAGTACCAAACACAACATCGTGCTGGGAATTGTACTTATGCCAGTAAGGGGTGTGAGTGGCATTAAAGGGTGTGGACAGCAGACGCTGGAAAAGTGGGCATCTGCAGGGAGCATGTGGACTGAGAACAAGGACTGGGACCTGGTGGAGTTCAGGACAGAGCCTGACCTTGTTCTGTGGCCAGGGAGAGCCACCAAGGGCCATCACAGGGCCCAGAGGGTCCCCACGGGGTCTCACTTTGCTGCTAGGAAACTGAGGCCCGCAGAGGGGGGATACAGCAAGCTCAGGCAGCACAAGATCCAGCTGGTGGAGGGAGGGTGGGTCACTGTGGCGGCCAGGCCGAGGGAGCTCTGCAGCAAGGGGAGGAAGCCGTAAGCAATGACCTCATCCCCCAGGCCTCCGCCCCAGCACACGGTTCCCAACCACAGGCATCGCAGGACAATTCCCTGGTATGCGCGCCACCAGAGGGCTCAGGGCGTGCTCGTCTGTATTGTGCCTTTTAGGGCTTCTTGCTTTGTGTGGGATCTGACCAAAAACATAAAAAAAAATTTTTAAAAGCTCTGATTACCAAGACAAAAACCAGCCCCTCACCTGGGCCAGGGCAGTATTTCTTACTACAGAGAAAGCGGGGAGAGTTTGTGCTGACAGGGAAATCTGGGAGTGAACCAGAGCTGCCCAAAGAAGCAGCTGATCACACGGGTACACTTGTATACCCGTGTATGGCAGGCACAAGTAAACACATGCACACGGCGACGTCCTGAACAGGACACGGCGTGCACATGCCTGTGTACCACACCTACACAAACACATGTACACACGCAGCCTCTGGATTTCACAAACCAGGTTAGTGCTTTCTCCCTGGGAAGTCCTAACTAAATCGCAGGGCCGCACAGACCTCAAACGCGCCTGTTCCAACTCCAGGGCCAAACCTGGCCGAGGCGAGATTCTTGCTAAAATGGCTTTTTCAGGCCCACCAAAAATCCCTGCTTCAGCAGAATGCTTAATCCCTCCGAAGCCGCCCTGGGGCTTCCTTAACCCCGGCTGAGATAACAGCTTCCTGGCACCAGAAGAGGGGCGCAGCCCAAGAAGAAAAAACACTGGGTCCCAGGAACACGTCCTCGAGCGGCTGTTTTTCCCCATCTGCACATCACGCTCTCCGAGCTGTGCAGCGCTCACACTGGGCCCCTGTGGGGCGCCGCCCGCTGCGGTTGGGGCTCTCGAGCTCCCGTGGAGATGCGCGTGACAAGAGCGCCTCCTGGTGGCCCTTTGGCCTTACTTCCACCAGCTTTACTCCACCAGCCTTTTATTCCTGAAGCTCACCACGCCCACCCACCCTATCCACTGCCCCCTTGCTGTGTCCATGGCCTGAAAGTACTAACTACTACTATTCTTTTTCCTTTTTTTGAGACAGGAATATCGCGATATAGTCCAGGCTGGCCTCAAAGTCATGGTAATCTCCCTGCGTCAGTCTCCCAAGGGCTGGAATTACAGGAGTGCACCATCACACCTGGCGAGGTCACGGCTTACCTCGGCCCACCCAGGGCCCTGGGCTTGCCAGCCCCAGAAGACATAAGTGGTGGGATCTCCGCCCACCTGGCCCCAGCACAATATGACTCCTCCTTCCTCCACTGTGCTGTGGGTGGGTCCATGGCTGCCTCATTCCTGCTATCCCCAGGACCCCCAATGCCACCCGTGGCTTTGACTATGGGGTAAGTGGCTGAACTGAGCTCAAACCTACCTGGGAGGGGCAACCTCCCCAAACACAGTAACACAGCAGGAAAGGCAGGTCTGAGGCCTTCTCTGACCCCCTCCATGTTACAGATGGGAAAACTGAGGTCCAGGACCACACAAAACTTGGGGTGTCCTGGTAGGGCAGCTCTGGTCATCAGGTTTGAAGAAGGAATGTCCAACGCCAGAGAAACAGCCAGGCGGTGGCAGGCCCGGAGGCGGCCAGGAGGGAGGAGGTGGGGAGAGGTGATGTCAGGGGGTCTGGATGGGTTTGTGCCCCACAGCCTGGCACTTTGGGGGCCACGGGAGAGAAGTTGGAGTTGATCCTAGCATCACAAGGACCTTTGAGAAGGATCTGATTTGTGTTTCAGGAAGTGTCTCCCTGGCTGTTGGGTGGGAAGCGTGCCTAGCAAGCGGAGACGGAGACAAAGGAGCTGAAGGTGGCCAGGTTGCTGCCCTCACAGAGTAAGAAAGGGCCACTTCTGGGGATACATTTGAGGGCCAGAGAGGTTCCACCTAGGGCCAAGAGCTGCTCCTTTGGCACTCACAGGCCCCTGCAGGGAAGCCTCTGTGGGACAGAGCTGTCCTGAGACTGGCCACCAGGTGGCGCAAGGACCCCCGGAGATGCAGGGCTGGGTAGGCTCGAACCACGCAGAGGCAGGAGCTGTTGGAGGGAAAGGGGCCTAAGTCTCTGGGAGATAGACAGGGTACAGCCATCCCAGATCCAAGCTAGCACATGACACACTCACACAGCCACACTCGGGAATATGTGCAGACACACAGTGACGTGAAAACGTGTCCACACAAAAACACACAGTTACACGTACACTTGCATGTACACATGGTCCCATGTACACATGCCCATGCATGTGAGCACACATACATACACAGATGTGCACATGGGCACTCTCAGGGAAATACTCTGGCAGCTGACCCTCATAACCTGAGAACCATTGGGCACCGTCAGCCCCAGGCTGGGGTCCCCACAGACCTGGCCTCCACGGAGGACCCAGAAAAGGAAGGCCTGGCCTGCTCCTCTCAAGCGGACACATGGCCAAGGCAAGACATTCCTCTAAGGAGATACAGCCAGCAACCTGGCAATCGCTGTCTCAGAGAGTCAGATCTGTGAGCAAGGGGACATGGTGACCCTATAGAGGTGCAGTGGAGATATCGTGGTACACGGGACCAGGAAAAGAAAATGACAGCTCTGACCTGGCAAAGATGATGCTGAGACAACCCACAGACCCTCTTCATGGTGTGCACAGAAGGCCCCAACAAGACATGTGGGTGTGCTCTGACAGGATAGGAAATGTCATATGTTGGGATCAAGGAAAAGAGGTAGGATGCTCATGACATTCAGGAGAGATACTGAATAGGATCTGACATTATCAGATCGAAACCACACTGATCTGGGCCTGGATGACAGTTCTCAGACATGAAAACACAATCCTGTGCCCAGCAGCCAGGACGCTCCTTCCAGAAAAGCCTGAGGCTGTCCTGCCCTTAAAGCCAGGTGTTCACAGGCCCTGGGTGCTACCCGTCCAACACAGTCAGCAAAGGGGCAGCAAGCATATGTGCTGGCAGAGATCCTTCCCAGGCACTCAGAGAGCCTGCGATTGGGCCAGCTCTGCAAGGTGGGAGGTGGAACACTGGATTGCCAGCCTTGTGCCATCTGGAAATCCCCAAGGATGAGATGGAGAAACGCAAAAGGCATGAGCAGAACAATGCTGGCCTCAGCCCTGCCAGAACCCTGTCTGCCTGCCTGAATCACACTCAGGCAGCTCCCTTGCGTCCCCAAGACATGCTGATCCCCTGTACCCTTTCTCAACAGCCTCACAGCCACCCACATCAGCTGCAGGCTTCCTACTGGCCTGTGAGCTCCAGGAGTCAGGAGTGCTCTCTGCTTTGTTATCATGGTCACTGGCCCAGACTCTCAGCCTCCTTGCCATGGTGGGACCCATCCTGAGTTTGGGGGGACCCAGGGATCCTTCCAAGGACATGTCTCAGAGGCTCACAGCTGGGTGGGAGAACACTCAAACCCTACTCAAATGGCCTGCACGCTCCTTGAGGGCCGGGGACGTGGTACAGGGTGGCCGGTCCCAGCCTCACTCACAGGGAGAGAAGTGCCCCGGGCTGGGCACTGAGGCAAGCATGCCCCCAGCCCGGGGGTCCTGCAGGATGACCCTGTAAGATGTGACACCAGGATGGCTGCCTCCTGGGATGAGGGAGGACTCTCCAGGCCATGTGGTCAGTGACAGGGCAAAGACACTTGTGGGGTCCACGCGCCAGTGATAACACAAGCAGGAGTCACTCGGCACCAGGTCGCTACCTGCCAACCCCAGCTCCACTGTCCTCCTGTCCTCCCTTCCTCACCCAGCCCTAAAAGACCCCCAGCAAGTCCTCCAGCACCACGAGTTCCAGGCCCTTCCCACTCCCTGGCTTCTCTGTCTGCCACAAGCAGGGCCCGAGTGGCCTGGCAGGTGTGGGCCTAGGGAGGAGCCCACACCTCCAGCCCGGCTCCACGCAGGGCTGCTGAGAGGCTGGGGCGGCCGTGCTCCAGCTCAGGGCAGCTCAGGGCAGCTGAGACACCCGGTTACAGCCCCAAGCACCTACATACCATCCAGAAGAGGGTCCCAATGGCCAGAGCAGCATACTGCTCAATGGTGGACAGCACACTGAAGATGAGGCAGGCCAGCACAATGAGGAAGCTGTAAGACAGGAGGGGGTGGTGGTCAGCATCCTGGCCGCTGGTCTACCTCAAGTCCCATGTAAGGACACCTCCTACCTGAGGCACTACCCAGGCATAAGGTCTCAAAGCTGCCAAAACCCATTGCTGGGGAGTGGACAACCAGATGTGGGTCCACAGGATGAAGGCTGTCCAGGCATCACAAGAAGGGACGCCCAAAACACTGTACTGTATTGCCAGGCCCCAAAGACCACCTGTGGTGTGACTATGTCCCGACAGGCAAGTCCACAGGAACGGAAGGCAGTTGGGGGATCACAGGGTGTGAAGGTCCAGAGCTCCCTTGCTGTCACGATACATTTTGACTCAGATGCGGTATCCTCCCCTGCTCTTGGATACCCTGGGAACCAGCCTCAAGGTATACATTTCTCACAGGGGAACCCTGGTGTGTGATTATATCTCAATAAAGCTCCTTTAATAAATTGCTTCCATATAAGCCCCTCCTGAATGCAGGAGTTCAGGGCCAGGGCAGGCAATATGGGACTTAGTGGCCCTGGAGCTCATCAGAGGGTGTGACCAGGTGCAAGTGGCCCTATCCCTCCTCCTGCCTGGAGGACAGCACAGACCCTCTGCCCGGTGCTTGGAACCCAGAACCCTCTCCTCCTTCAGAGCCTGCAGCCCCAGTGGTGTCCAGCCCCACCCCCACCCTGTACAACTTCCTCCCAGCAGCCAGGACTCTCCAGCCCCTGCCGGTACCCTGCTTCCCCTAGGCTCAGCCCACTAGAAGCACATCCGTCCCACCTGTCCCGTCTGTCCAACACACACAGCCCACCCCACCCCACAGAGCCCACACACAGGCTGCCACCACAGCCTACAGTTTCCTGGAGGCAGAAGGGCTGGGGGATCTCCCAGAATCTCCGTGGGCGGAGCCACCCCTTACTGGCCTCTGCAGCCCACGCAGAGACCCCGGGGGACGGACGGAGGCGGAGGCTTTGCTCGTGCTCCCTGCCAAGCTCCTTGGGTCCGGTTGGCTACACAGCGCCCTCTGCTGCTGGGATCTAAATCCTACCAATCACTTTCCTCAGGACACCCGCGTCCCTCACACGCTGTCAGCTGCATCTGTGTAGCCACATTCCAGCCCACCTTCTCAACCTGACTCTGACTCCTACCTTCCACTCTCGCCTCCCCAGCCTATCCCACCCAACAGGCAAGGCAAGTAGGCCCTAGACATCACCCCTCCACATGACTGCATGGTAGCTCCCTGGTCCCCCCATGCTGGTCTTGAGTGCGCCTAGGGGGCCTGCCACAAGGTCTTTGCACTTGCCATGGCCCTGCCTGGAAGTCCCTCCCCAAGCACGTGCAGGGAGCCTTATAGCAGAAAACCTAGCTGAACATCTTACCCTGTGCCCACCATAAGCCCTGATGTTCAAGTCTCACCACTGGGAGCCCGAGGCTGTGAGTGCCCAGGAACAGGCGCATAGCACAGCCTGGCAAGAGCAGGGGCTCAGTCTCCTGGCAGGTGCACCTCTGTTTAATCCCCAGGCTCGGCACTGACACTGCACTCTCACCACCCACACAGACGTTCAATTCAAAGCAGTCTTACCTCGGTCACCTTAACCTGAGTCCTACAGGACCCCTGGGGAGGGAGTCCCGGCACCTCCCAGCCTCGCCTCCTCCGGGTCCTCACAGGCCAGGTCTCTGGCTTCTTTGAGCCCCTGTTGCTGACACAGACAACACTTCCCTGCGTGTCCTCCCTCCACGTGGTCTCAGCTCTGAGGACCCTTGCTGCCTGGCTCCCAGGCCCTCCTGCTGCTTTCCTGGACCCAGGTGGTCCCTATGCTGTCACTGCCATGCCCTGTCCCCCAGAGCATGATCTGCACAGCGCTGACCCAGAGTGGACACAGAGTACAGGCATTTGTCACCACATGCAGCAGGACCCCTGGAAACCTCAGAAAGCTCTGCCTCCCAGGGAACATGGCCAATGCCGGCTGGGGTGCGGGCCCATCTCAGTAGGTGCAGCTCCTGGTGCAGGGAACTGGTCCATCTCACCCAGCCCACAGCCCACTTCTCACCCATCAGTCCCACAGAGGGGCTGTGCCCAAGCCACGGCCCTGGCCCCCTCCTCAGAGCACTTGCAGCCTATCCAGGCCTCGGGCCCTTGAAGGACCAGCAGGACGCAGTCTCTTCAGGGCCCCATGCCACGGTGGCCATAACTAATCCTCCCATGTGTCTGTCTGCTTTGATTTGCAGCAAGCACGGAAGTGGGATTAAGCACAACCAGGCTCAGCCAAGAGGAAGCAGAAAAGGTGCTGCCCTGGCAGGAGGTGAGCAGGTGCTGCCCAGTGGGAGGGGCTGCCCGCTGATCCCCAGATCCTGAGCACACGCGGAGCCGGGGAAGGACCTGCACAGAGGGAGGTCAGCTGCCCCTCTACACTGAGAGGTCTAGGCAGTTCCATGCCTCAGTTTCCCCACTGGCATGAATTAGAGCCCCCAGCTACCTCCTCATGGGGCTGTGAAGGACAGTGTGGCTGGACATCCCCAGGGGCTCAGCCCTGTGACTTTGCCCAGAGACCGCAGACATACCCAAAGCTCGCCATGCTGCCTCCACCATGAAGAAGGAGCAGAAACCACTGCCGCCCATGGGCTTCCATGAGGACCATGTGGCCGCTTCCTGTCCAGCACCAAGAAGCCCCCAAGGGCGACCACTGCTTGCCCTCCCAGCCAGGGTGTTCCAGTGATGCGGATCCCATGAGAGCCTGGCAGGCTGAGAGTCACCGTGTTGTAATCAAACAGCTGCCTCAGGAGAAATCGGGGGTCCCAGGTCTCCTCGGGTCACTCAAAGGTTGAACCAAGAACCAAGTAAGTGGCAAGGATCTAGGGCTGCTCATGGCCTTTCATCCCTTTGCTGTCAGGGTAATAATCCAGCATTACTGTGGCTGTGAGGTGGCTCCAGCTCTGGAGAGCAGTGGTCACAGCTCATGAGGACCATGCTTTCAGAGGAGCTCATAGGAAGGGCACAAAGTTTCAGGGAGAGGTCACAGACAGGAAGTGGCAGGGCTGGAGGCCCCCTAGCTGTGTCCTTGGGAGACATGAGGGACTCAGGCAAGGGGCAAGCGCCTTGTGGAGGAGGGAAGCCTCCAGCCAGGTGAGGCTGGAGTGTAGAAGGTCTGTCACTACCAGGCAGCCACCAGGCCACCCCCCAGCAGGGAACCGGGGTGTCACTCACAAAGACGGCCCAGGCAGGGGTGAAAGGAAGGTTTCCTCATATAGGGAAAACCATGAATATATGGGGGGAAGGCAGGTGGAGGCTGGCAGGATCGAGGGGCCTGCCCAGGATGCCCTGCCCAGCCTGTGGTCGGCAGACAAAACCTGAGATCAGGGAATGGGGTGCTAATCCATCCCATGTGCTATTCCTCGGCCTCGCCACATTCAAGGCTGAAGGGCTCTTCAAATATTTGAATACACTGCACTGGCTTGAGAAAGAATTATATAGCACAGTTTATATTTTTTATCTATTCCAGATAAAATGAGTTTTATCTTATTTACCACTCTATCTGTTCCTGTCCTAGGTGGGGCCAGGAGCCTCAAAGAGGCCAAGCTACGGGCCCTGTCCTTGGGGCGCTCACAGCCTAGCACCCATACTACAGCCCCCGTACCTCTACAGGCAGCCATGGCCCCTTTACCTCAGCTCTGCACCTAGAGCTCCAAGGTCAGACTGTTCTAAGGCACCCCCTTTGCAAGAGCCGGGTGCCTGAGGCCAGGGGAAAAAAGACGCTGCCATGAATTCTGGGCACGGAACAGGTTGTGTGCAAGGCTGGGGAGGAGGTGTACAATTCCAGGAGGCCACCAAGCCAAACTCCGCCTGGGCCTAGTTCCCAGGAGGTGCCCTGCAGGGGGGTTGGGGGGCAGTGGCACCCCAGGGACAATACCTTACTGTTCTACTAGCAGCAAATTAACCTCAGCAGCTGTGACCGCAGAGCCAGCCCTGAGGGACGTCCAGTGTGTTATCGGACATCATTTCAATATCTCCACAGCCAGGTGCCCTGGGAACACAGAAGATTGCAAGTGGCCTGCCAGGGCCGAGGTCAAGACCTCAGCAGGGGGCACATAGGTTGAAGGAGCAGCTCCAGGGGCTCAGACAGGCTGGGCCTAAAACAAGGAATGGCTTTGACCTAAAGACTCTACCTTCGCAATGCCGGGCCTCCTCTCATGGGGTTGGTCAGTGCAGATGACCAGCCCTCCGCCGAGTCCAGTGCAGGCAGGTCCCACAGGGGAGCAAGGTTTGATGGTAACAGTCCCCCCCCCCCCAGCCCACAGGAGCACAGAGTGGCTTCCCTGGGAAGTTAAGCAGCGTTAACGAGTTACGCATATTTCTCACACAAAGAGCACATGGACAGCCACCGAGACCCTTGGGGCCCAGCTCGAGGTGGCTGCAATGGGAAGCTGTCATAAGCTGAAGCTCCAGGGCATAAAAGGAGCACAGGAACTTCTCTCAGGACTTTGGAGCCACTGGATCTGTACACCTCACTTATTGCATGTATAAAATGACATGAAGACCTGAAAAGTTTTGTTGGTCTGGAAAAATCATTAGGCGAAAAAGATTAGGGGCCTGGGGAGTCGGTCTTTAATGGGGACAGAGATTCAATTTGGGGAGATGAGAAAGTGCTGGAGGTGGAGGGTGGTGACAGCTGGACAACAGTGCGAATGTACTTAATGCCCCTGAACTGTGCACTTAAGCATTGCTAAGATGGGATATTCTATGTCATGTATTTTACGCCAAGTAAGAGAATATATTTTAAAAAGAACACGGAGTGAATGCCATTGACAATGGGACATGAGCTGCCTGAACATTTGTGTGGACTGTGACTGAGGCTGAGCCGCTCATATTCAAAGCCCCTGTTGGACACAGGCCATTGCCAGGCTGACAGACAACCAGCTTGTTAAACAGCACTAAAGTTGAAGGCAGAACAGGACTTTCAATACACGTAAGTTCAGCAAATTAAGGACTGATGTCTCAACCCCAAG